ATGTAAGGGCTTGAATGAAAGCTGGGAGCCGGTCAACTTCATCTCAGGCCCTTTCCCATCTTGGCGGGGCGTGGGCATCGATGTAACGACGCGGATATGTACAGGACACCTCCCAATAATCCTGCGGTGCCCCTTGGGAGGGCATGTCTCCGCATGTACAGGTCGGGTAAGGCCACCCGATGGCTTGGATGATAGCTGTGGATCATACAAGCACAACAAAGGTCTTTGGGGGTGTTTCGGAGGTGGTTGGGCCGAGTTATGGAGGAAAACGTGGATTTACCGAAGCCACGGAGCCCCTTTTTTAGGCTCTATCTCCTCGGTCCCGGCTCTGTTGTGAACTCAAAATACATTCCGTGAAAGCTGTGTCCAGTAGGATTACAACAAAGTTGGTTTGAGGTCGATCCGAGCTTTCTACGCCGAGTTAGACGTGTTGTCCCAAATAAAAATTTGGGACAACGTTGTCCCAAATAGCCGTGCCGAACATTTTAAGGGCAAGTGTTGGAGGTGTGGTCTAGAGGGGCACGTGAAGAAGGACTGCCTCTCTCGAGTGATCGCGCATCCTTCTCAGGCCGGACCGTCCGAGGAAGAAGATGATGCCACCGGTGAGAAATCCGACTTGGTTTTGATGTCTCTGTCTGGCATGAGTGAATGGAGTAGTGCTGAGTGTCTGGCAGCGACGTTCGACTCGGTGATGAAGCAAGTCAACAGCGGTGCTAAATTCATGAGTGACTGTTTGGTTGCTGCGCAGAAGGAGTGCTGTATCGAAGATTGGTATGCAGACACAGGCACTGCCTTTCACATGACAGATTCTCTTGCTTGCCTGAGGGATGTGACGTCTTGCCACAAGACAAGTTAAAGTAATTGGTGGCGTAATGTGTGAGGTAGCACTGACTGGCACTCTAGACTTGGTGTTCGTGTCTGCTGACAGCGAGTTCTCGGTGGAGTTGAAGAATGTGCTGTACTCTCCCAACTCGGATACAACCTCTTCTCTCCTAGCGCAGAGTTTGACGGCTCCTAGAACCGCCTTGGTGGGCCCGACAAAGTGTTGACTGCCTTCCGTGGAAAAGTTGTGTTCCAGAACATCAATGGGATGCTTGTTGCGACCGCCTATCGTCTTGAGTATGAGGATAGTGATGACTCTGTTGTTGGGTCGGTGTTGGCTGCTCTCACTCCCTCAAACCCCAAGCATGCAAGCAAGATGGATATCAACGAGTTCCATAACATTTACGCCCATGCGCATGAAGGCTTGCTTCGTACTACTGCAAAGCAGTTGAGTGTTGGGCTGACTGGTATCATGCATCCTTGCACGGGTTGCTCGATGTCGAAAGCAAATAAAATTGAAGGGATCTCGCGAGAAACTAAAAATAGATCATATAAAAAGTTGGGCAGAATTTTTGTAGACCTGGGAGGGAAGAAGGGCGTCGCGTCCATCGGGGGTAAATACTACCCCATGATTATAAAAGATGACTACACGAGGCGTGCGTGGTTACATTTCCTCAAGAAGAAATCAGACGCTGGTAAGGCTTTCACGAGTTTTCTTGCGAGTGTGTGTACTGATGGTTTGCCGTCATTGGTCGAGATTGTTAGATCTGACAATGAGTTTTCTGGGGGGAATTCGCGTCCGTGTGCAATGAGCTCTTGATTAAGCAGGAGTTCACCCCGGCTCACACTCCACAATAAAATGGTGTTGCTGAACGTGGCTTGGGATTGATATAGGAGGCCGCGATGGCGGCTCGTATTATGGCAAAGGTTTTGTTTGGGCATTTGCAGTTGCCCAAGACTGATAGGCTCTGGGCTGAATCAATGCATTGGGCTTGCGAGGCTTTGAACCACACAGCTTGCAGTGGGAACCCTGACTCGAAGTCGCCGTATGATATGTGGTACGGTGAAGCCCGTCCTGCTAGACAGTATCCATTCTTGAAGCCGGCGTACTGCAGGTGGCAGCGACCCTCTAAACTGCTGCCGAAGGGTGAGAGTTGCTTCTATGTCGGCCCTTCGAGAGACCACCCGCGCGATTGCCATAGAGTGTTGACGAGGGGTGGGATCATTCAGGAGACGAGAGATGTGACGTGGGAAGCGCTGCCGTCTGAACTCCCTCCGCCGCAACCACCGCTGCCGATAGACCTAGAGGTAGCAGAGGAGGGAGGGGAGGGAAATGACGATGATGTAGAAGCTGAAGTGTGGCCGCTCATGGGTAGAGGGAAGCCCCCCATTCGTTTGCAGCCTAGCGCTCCCCCCTCCGGTGCAGTTGATGAGGTTTTCAGTGTTGATGCTGGTAGCTTAGGCCAATCCCCCTCTGTGTCGTCCGCGACTAACTCCCACGCTCCCTCCGTGTCTTCGCAAGATTCTGTTGATGACCAGGAGCTGGGAGGGGCAGAGTCGGTTGGTGATGAGTCTGTGGGAGGGCAGGATAATGAGGCAGTAAGCCGGGAGGGCAAGCGGTAGCTCCTCCAGCCACTCGTCGCCCCCGGCATGTTGTTGAGCTTGCTGATTTTAATGCTGCCCCGCGTGAGAATGATGAAGTCAGAGTAGGTAGGACTCGCACGCAAACCCGTGCAGTCAACCAGCAGACTCCGTCAGGCCTTGTTTGGTAAGAGCGGGAACATTTTCGTTGGCAGTAAAAGTACGTGATTGACGCTCGTTGGGTTTTCAAATGGAAGACAGACGAAACAGGGAAGATAACCAAGGCCAAGGCTAGGCTTGTGGCAAAGGGGTTTAAGCAAAAGCACGGGATCGATTATCTTTTGACTTTCTCGCCTACTGCAAATGCCGCATCGATTCGGTTGCTCGTGGCATTGGCGTGCAAGTATAATTTGGAATTACTCCACCTGGACATTGAGCCTTTGTTCAGTCGAAGTTGGATCACGAGGTGTTCATGAACTGGCTGTGGTACGATGTCAGGAAAAGTCGTCCGTTTGAACAAGAGTTTGTACGGATTGAAGCAGGCATCTAGGACATTCTACATGAGGCTTGTGTCGGACCTGAAGAGGATTGGTTTCGAGCAGTCTCTGTCAGACCCCTGTGTATTACGTTTCATGATGGGAGACGAGGTCATGGGGATGGTCGCGATCCATGCGGATGATATTCTGTATGCAGGTTCTAAGAGTCTTGCCGAGACGGTGGTAGCAGCGCTTGGTGATTCTCTTCCCACGAAGAATTTGGGTGAAGTCAAGTTCTTTCTTGGTTGCGCTTTGAGGCGCGACCGTGAGGCTGGCACGATTGAGATTTCTCAAGAGAGTTACAGAAGGAGTGTCCTCGAGAGATTCAATGTCGTTAGCACCAGCTCGATCCCCGCTCCCCCACTGTTGTCAACAGGTCCGTGATGGAGAATGAGGAGGCGGGAGATGTGCCGTTCCGTGAGGTGGTGGGATGCCTAATGTGGATCGCCTGCCAGACGAGACCCGACATCTCTAATGCTGTGCGGGCTGTGGCAAGACACTCCCACGAGCCGAAGTTAAGCCACTGGAAGGCAGCTCAGAAGATCCTGAATTATCTTCTGGGCACGGCACATCTTAGTCTAAACTTCAAGCGGGATAGTTCGGTAGACGTAGGGACTTTGGTGTACGTAGCTGCCGACTTTGCCAGCAAGGCCACTGACCGTAGATCCGTTTCTGGAGCGTTGGTTTTTGTGGCCGGAATGCTTGTCGTTTGGACTTCCAGGACGCAGAAATGCGTCGCTCAGTCGACTTCGGAAGCAGAGTACCTAGCGATGGGTGATGGTGTAAAGGAGGCTCTGTTTGAAGACGGAATGCTTCAGTTCTTGAGGCCTAGTGAGAAGTCTCGTGAGATTAAGGTACTAGAGGACAACGAGGGAGCGATTGCGCTTGCTGATAATCCGCTTAGCTCGGGGAGACGTAAGCACATCGACGTAAGGCACCACTTTCTTCGGAGCTTGACTGAGGAGGGTAGGATCAAGATCTCGCATGTTAGCAGTAAGGAGCAACATGCAGACATTCTCACGAAAGCTTTGCCGCGAGAGCTTTTCGAAGTTCACCGTAACTTTGTGCTTGGCTTGAGCGAGAAGTAGAAGTCGGAGGTCGTTGTTATTCGTCAAAGAATTGTTGGTCTGAAGGATACAGCAGCCCCTAGGGAGGGTGTTCGTGGTAGCGGCAGGTGTATCGACTCAATGGCGGGGTATATCTGATTGGACGACTTGACTAGCGGGACTGTCGTTGGAAGGTTACTCCGGTTCTGCAGGTTCCGCTGTGGAACATTCGTATATAAGTATCTGTCGAGCAATCTGTTGGTGGTTTGTGCTTTCCTCCGATGTATTTGTGGCTCGTAGGAAGAGTACAACTACCCGTGATCGGGGAATCGGGATAGTGTGATGTGATTCGTGATCGAGTTGTCGGGGTATTGCAACCGGGCAGATAGGGGTGCTGCACGCCCTCACCTTGCCCACTCCCATTCCAAACCAAATAATAAGACCAAGTCTCAACTATCCAACAACCTTCTCTCTACAAGCCACGAGTTTACCAACATAGACTATGGCCCAAATAGACATAGATACGCAAACAGATGTCCCACCTACACACAATTAAGCCGATAAAAACTACCTGTTGTATGCGAACAGATGTCGTCGTAGACGTCTTCACAACATTATTGTCGGATGATTCCTCAACGCTGTGAATGTGCATCTTTTCCCTGCAGTAAATAAGAATGGAGCGTATGCCACAGGAGATCGACTAGCGTACGTCATGGTGTATGGGTAGGACGACTGTCTGCACGATTAAAGTTCAGACGCGGCACTGGTGTATGCAACGAAATATATTTCCGCAGAAGGCCTCCCTTCCAGTTCTACCTTCGGGACGTGGGTGCCGAGGTTCCCGAAGGTGATGCAATATGGCGTGCCCTCCGAAGTTGTATCTCTCCCATGGGTGATGCAAGTGATGCCATTATTTTTTTTGTCACTCATTGCCCAGGATGCAAACGGGAGGATTCGAGAGAGTTTCGAATCCATGCTTTGTGGCGTTGGCAAAACTTTGGTCGAACAAGGGGGGGCTAAAATCGGGGGAGACGGCGTGTTGATCGGTAACGCTAGTTAGTGCTCGCTTCCGTACGAAACACCACGGATCCATCTCGGGCGGACCGTGAAACACAAGATTGGTGACATGCTGTAATTAGTTACTCCTGCTGCCCACTGACAAGGTATCGCAGAATGCTGCTCGGGGAACCAACTGTAGAAACACAGAGGCGTGCTTGTGATGCTATGAAGTCATTGCCAATTTATCGCGGACTCTTTGTCTATCATCTGTGGATAGATAGACAACCAGGGTGCACGTGAAAACTCATCCCGCACACCGGATCTTTATTTTTTTGTTGCCGTATTGCGACCCCAAAACCGAGAACAAAAAATTGTGACCCCGGTTGGGTCGTCTAGCTAGTAGAAGTGGAGGATAGGGGCCAGAGGGGCAGACGACAGAGTCCAATTATGGGAGAAAAACAAAAACAAAACAACAACACCCAACTCTCTGTTCTGCCGTCGCTCATCTTTGCTGCAGAGATATTCGAGTTTTGAAAATCGGTCCAGGGGGGGTGTGGCATCGGTGTGGCATCCTGTGCAGCCTACGGTGTTTGCTTACCACGCCAACCGTATATATATGGGGGCACAGGGCACATCATGTGTTACTGGTGATGACGTTTCATGCATTGACTAGGGTCTACTTTGAGCGGGTTAGATGCTATTGATATGCAATTTTTGTACGTTGAGGGTTTCAGCGACAGCTCGCTGAAAACAAAAATTGGGGGTACAGTGGGGGCTACGGTTTAAGAGCGCTCAGTTTCAGAGAATTGCCGGTTTAAGAGAGGTCAAGATTGCTAGACACACCCCTCTCTTAAACCCCGAATCTCTTCAACCTCTCCTAAACCTCTCCTAACCGAACCTGCCCCCCGACCCCCCACCCCCTATAGCCCACCAGCTGCCTCCCACTGCAGCAGCTCAAGCAGCTGTACAGCAGTTGGCCATCATAGCTAGCGAGAGACACAGCTCCCACGGATGCCTTGCGCCGCGGGTTCCCGCTGCCTGGCAACGCCGGACCATACACCCGGCCCCCCACTGTTGACGAACCACCCATGCCGTGTCTGCGGAGGCTACCTTCATGGACTGTGCGGTGTGCCTGACCCGGTTGGCGACAACGAGATGCACCTTGTTTGCCACGGATGTGTCAACTCGAGCAACTGCAAGGAAACAAGCACAGACTCGACTGCTCGGGCTGCATCTTCGAAGCCCCCTTGCCCGGACGGGCGGGCAACGTGGAAGGAGAAGCGAGCGGGTGCACTGGCAGCTTGAAACCCGTTAGCAACACCGCACGTAGGAAAGTTCGTGGCGCCGAAAACCGCAAACGACCGACGCTTGAAGACAAGGTTCGGGCGCTCGAGACCGACTCTTCGGCGGGAGAAGAGGGACAGCGTACGCAGCCCCTGGTCTCTCCTCGTCCGCCACCGTACGCTGACGTATCTAGGCAGTTCGGTGACCTCGAAGAAATAGCAGAGAGGTGCAGCATGCGAAGTTAGCCTGGATGAGCGAGGCTGGGTCAAAGAAAACGAAGCAAACATGCATGGCAGTTGGTAAACTCGTGGCTTCTGGGGAAAAGATGTTTTATTGTTGAGACCTTGGACCAGGAGGACAGGTCAAAAGGTGAAGTGAGCAAGGGTGAGGAGCACCACAGCACCGCAGCGCCGCAGCCACCACCCGACCGACACACAAAAGCAGAACACAATGATATCGGAACACAACGACTCAACAGACAGGGGCTAACGTACTTCACAACGTACCATGAACCCTCTGACTGATGCACTATCCACAAGAAACACACTCGGGGTAATGCACCATCCACGAAGAACATTCCCACAGAACGTTCCTTGCTGTTGTGATAATATGTGGCTACTCAACGAGCTTCAACGCAGACAGTCCCGCAATGCAAACTGTCCGATCAAGTTGTTCTACGTCACTCTGTCGATACACACAGCAGCAACAATCACGAACAGGCAGACTTCATGTAAAGTTGCAGAAGCTGCCCACAGGCGACGTTCATGGACGTCTTTTTTTTTTTTTAAAGGGTAGGGTGTACTACTTGTACTGCTGTGGGTGCTTGAGTCACTTGTCTTGAGTGTTTTGTGTGTGTAAATGCTCACGTTTCTGTGTTCTGTTGGCAGCTATATCCTATGATATGCACTGCTGTTTGTCGAGATGAGGTCGGAGTACACCTTGGAGACCAGGGAATAGTTACATCGTTTGTGCTTCGTACACAAGAAGGAGGGGTCACGCTTGGTGAGGGCCCTATAACGCACGAAAATATTGGGGAAAACAGAAGGACTAAAATACTTTTCATTACTTCCATCATGTTAGACCGTGATTAAAGACATATAATAATCGGTTTAAGCGAGGTTTTCCCTTAAACCGAACGTACGGTTTAAGAGAAAACCTCTCTTAAACCGTATAAAGAGAAGGTCGTGTTTAAGAGAGGTCTTCTGGGTGATGCACACCCCCCTCTTAAACCGTAGCCCCTACTGTAAGGCTATATAAAGCCACAAGCCTACAAGCAGCCTGTGACTGCTATAATTTACCGTCGACATTCCGAAGCTATGTTGTCGGAGCCGACAGCAATATTTGGAACCAAAACAAAAGGAGACTCATTCCTGGTTCCCGACTTTCGTGCGATAGCGTTCCGAAATTCGTCGGGCTATGCGAGGAGCTGTGTGGTTGGGCATTCTAAACGTGCAACTATCGTTGCTGACATGTCGAGGCGGTGAGGCGTAGTCGCTGGCTCGTTCTGGGCGTGCATGCAACACAAGAACACGGCGATCAAGCCGTTGAGAATGTGGCCCCACCTTTCGGTTCTTTGGTGGCAGCTTTCGGGGGAAGGCACGACGCGCGCGATGACGAAGCTATTGACTACTTATCACACACCTTGTTCTACTATGCGTACTGTAAGACTATATGCAATTGTATCGGTACAGATTTGAAAATATCCCGGTGTGTTGTAGTTGCTATTGTTCCTTCGGCACACTATTGCCGTAGGCCTAGTCTGGACTGCCAGTAAGTGGAACTTGCGCTTTTTGCGAAATCAAGGTTCTCAGTATTGTTCTGGCTCTGTTGTCTGTTGTGTGGTTCTCATTGCAACAATCACACAACACCTCTCCAGTAGCTACTGTAGTCGTGTAATACAGCAGAACAGGATTATGGTGCGCAACACCTATTATAGCTTTCTTCAACAATATGTCGTGACAGAATTGTCAGATGAAGGGCCGCCCGTCCCCGTGCCGGAATCTTGGCGTGTCGTGTCACGTACGGGGACATCACATCGTCGCAGGAATTGCGGCGTTCCGCACCTCGTTGACCATAGTCCATGGCATGGAGGCTCATTTTCTGTCTATGAAGTTGGACGCGTAGCACTGTCTCTGTAACCCACGGCCGCCAGAGGCTTTTGAGCACAATCGACTCCAAAAACTCCAGCCTCAGCCCCTAGACCTCTCGCCACCCGATTCCCTACCAATTACACCCTATCAGAGCGCGCAAGAACAAACACCACGTTCTTTCTTGAGCGTCATGGAAAATAATGCATTTAGACTAAGCGCACCACGTGAACAAAGAGCGATCCGACGGAAGCAGCCGACTGTGACTGTTGGCGTGTAACCGCTACGTGTCGCTCGTGATTTTGCACTACCGCAGTGTGCTGTCTCGTCCAGCGTTCTCCCCGACGCGGAGCGTGCTCGAAGGCTGCCGTGAACTGGTGGCCAGGGTTCGCGCCGTGGTGTTTCGCATCCCACATGTCAAGATGGACGACGTGCCAGGTATGTTGGGGTCAGGTTGCCATCAGAATGCATGATGCGCAGACAAACTTTCTTACGGCACCGTGTGTCGATTGACTCGGTCGCTCGAAAACTTCGCGTGAACGGGTGTGGAATGGTTTCAGTTTCGGGAATTGTTGCATACGTTTTCGCACTGTGAGGGAGTTTGTCGATGACCATGGAATACGCCGGCGCCTTTCGGATCTGTGCGGATTGCAGAATGTACTGGCAAAGACTGAAACGTTCTTCAACTTGACGCCATAATAACAACAAAGGTTGATTTCGAGATGCCGTATCACTTTATCTGCTAGGTAGCTCGTGTACGGTTGGGTGTGGGACGAAGACAAACGGGCAACGCTCGAACCCCAAGGAACGAACCTCCGATTGTTTCCTACGCTATCTCTCGCACTCGAATTTGTGGGCGACACGGTCCGTCACATACATGGTTTTCTGTGCAATGACGCCCGCGCGTTTTCCCAGAAAATGATGTTACTCATGCCCCACATACCTAAATTCTACAACGAACTGACCACCATCTTCGAGAGAAGCAGCCGTCCCTCGTCCGTCACCCGCCTCCGTACGCGCGCCTGCCTCCTCGAGAGCAGCCCGCAACGCGCGAAACCCCCTGGACGACAGCACTGACACCATATCGGAAGTGCTGAGCTACTGCGCAGAGAACGAATACGTGTTTCTCGCCGGCGTAAGCAGCAACTGGCGGAGCACCTGGGAAGCGGCAGGCCGCCCGAAGAAGACGAGCGTGTCCCTGGCGACCGCCACCAACACCAGGGTGGAGACGATCATGGGCCAGCCCTCCTTCCACGTCGCAACAAGGCACCTGGGAGGCGTGTTCTGCCTCGCGGCAAGCGCGGGAAACCTCGGCGGGATCCAGACTGCGGCCAGGGAGTCCGGGGACGGCTGGGAGTCCCTCGGCTCCGTGGTGATGATGACGGCGGAAGCGGCATCCGCCGGGCACCTGCACATTCTCGAGTGGGCGAAATCGGCTGGGTGCCGGCTCAGCGTCCACATTCTGCGGTCCGCCATCAAGGGAGGGCACCTCGACGTTGTCCGCTGGGCCCGGGACGAGGCGGGGGCGCCGTGGTTTCCGGACACGTGCCGCCTGGCCGCCCTCGGCGGACACCTGCACGTCCTGCGCTTTTTGAGGGAAGAGGGGAGGCCCTGGGACGAGCAGACGTGCACTGCTGCGGCCGAGGGAGGGCATCTCGAAGTCCTCAAGTACGCCAGGAGGCATGGCTGTCCTTGGGACTCCAGCGCGTGCAAGTCCGCCGCCTGGGGAAACCGCATACAGGTGCTCAAGTGGGCCCGCGAGCACGGTTGCCCGTGGGACGTTAGCGTTTCGCACGGTGCCGCGCTGGCTGGCAACCTGCCGATGCTAATTTGGGTGCGCCAGAACTGCTGTCCCTTTGACAGACGCACGTGCTCGTACGCGGCTCTCGGGGGACACCTGGAATGCTTGCAGTGGCTGAGGAGAGAAGGGTGCCCTTGGGACGAAGACACCGCTGCCTGCGCGGCACAGGGGGGTTATCTTGAGGTGCTGCGTTGGGCGGTAGAGGAGGGAGGGTGTCCCTGGAATGAGCGAACGTGCGCCAGAATGGCAACAACCCGTCGGCACAACGAGGTGGTGGAATGGATGAAGCGCCTTCCAGTTATATGATGATAGTGCCACAGCCTTTGCCCAATGCGTGTTTTTAGTTCACCCATGTTGTCCCCTTTGAGAGGCTCGAAAATAACGCCCTTTGGGTATTTTTTGTGCTGTTTGTTCCGGATGCTTGGAACCGCGCTGTGTTGCAGTTGGATCCACCTGTTCCCGCTGACAAAAATTATCGGACTCGATCCACGCTGGTCGATTCATGTCACACCTCACGTTGTTTACCCGCGTAGACGGACGTTAGTAAGTATTTTCGGAGCGTCCTTCGGTGCCATTCATATTCTCAATCTTCTTACAAATATTTTAAAGATAGAATTGAATTCGGGTTAGCATTTCGACGGGGTGTTCCGTCCGTCTGTTAGTTCTTGGTTCCAAGGAACACATGTATTTTTGGTGCCTGCATCGACAACCACACGATGGTCTATTGTGTGGCAGTTGTTGTAACTTGAGGGATAATATCCTACCGGAAGTACTGGAAGAAAGTACCTAGATGAGATGCCGCTTTACGGGCCATCGGGCTGCGTTCTCATTAGATTTACAGGGACGATTCAGCCAAACGTCGTATGAAACGACACCAAGCTGAGAAAGAACACAGAGTCATCGTCTGTGTACACCATGCGAACAGTACGGTCATCCGGAGGGCGATAACACGTGCAACGCGGGGGTGCCGTGGGGACCGGAGTTCCGCATTTATTAGTATTGGTTCACATCAATTCCGTCGAGAGAGCATTTCGTTTGTCGCGGGTCGGATTCTGCGCGAGCTGAATAGCCTCCTGATTGTCCCCACACAGCGTGTCCGGACGCTATCTCCTTCCTCATGCACGGAAAGTATTAGCAGTAAGAGAGAGGTCTCCACCCTAGTGGAAGATATTCCCATAGTTCGACAATGTGTCTGTAGTCGACAGCGTAATTTACCTGTCCTACGCCTGAAGGAAAACCACCAATTACATGTTCACCCCCATCATCAATCCACCAGGCAGAACCTAGAACCTCCTGTCTGCTCTGCCTTGCCCCACCTTTCTCTGAGACAATACTATGCCCAGTCCCTGTGCACTGTGCACCATCCACGCTCAAAAAAGTGCCCAAGTCGTAGAAAACCTTGCTACCGCTCGCTCTCACAGTATTGTTTGCAGTGTCAGCCATACGTGCCGTAAATAGCTGGTGTGTGTTGCCGATCACATGAGTGTACCAACTATCTCACCGAAAGGCCAACAACGATACCGCCTATGCTTCAGCGTGAAACTTCCACGCTTGACACCTGCAGGGAACGGGGTGTATTTCCAGTAATCGCCAAACTCTATGGCCAACTGTCCCGCCCTACATCTCAATCTCTAAAGCGAAGCACCCGGGATTACTACTAGTACGACCGTGTTGAGGTCCTCCTACCGCGCAAACCGACAATAACAGCTCTCCTCGAAAAAAAGAGTATGCCATCCAATCGTACACAGGAGCCACTTTCAGTACCACTCGTTCCTTCCCGACTTGGCATAAATTTAAGAGTTGCCCGCCTTGGTCCACACGACTCCGACGTAGCCTTCCACCGGAACTACCGGTCACGCGATCATGTTGGGGAGATCCGACTAGGATAAGCTTTTGCCAGAGAGGCGTGCGTTGGATAGAGGTAAATGCAACTCGTCTCGAATGCGTCAAGGAGAAGTAAGTGTTGTTGTAAAAGTCACCTCGCATGCACCTACACACACCCCATGCTGGGAGGGACGCCCAAGTATACCTAGCATAAAATACATGTAACATGCACCCATACTACATACCAGGTACCTCCAAATGACCCGCTATTCTATTTCACCATAACCCCATGAATGTATACGACCCATTCGCATGGTTGCAGGTTCTCTATCAGCCGGGAAGTCATATCGGCTTGAAACTTATGAGTATGAAGTCTGAGAAATAAAGAATAACGCTAAGGCTAACGGCAAAAAACACTTCCAACCTAATTTCATTAATTGATCATAACAGTAACGAGGTAAAATCGCACGCATTACAATAAATAAAATTTCCAAAAAAAAAAAATTAAACCAAACCAAATACCATCTGGTAAAATACCAACACCAAAAGGAGATAACCAACCACCTAAAAAAAAAGGCAATCAAGAGCCCAAACCGGTGAAACATTTAGCGTTTCCTGTTGTTGAGGTGCAACCGAAAGGCAATCTAGAGCGTTCACTAGGTCCGTGCAGCGTGTGGAGCGACAGAAAAGCATTGAACCACCCAATTACAAACCTGTAATAATGCACGCGCTAGGTCTGGTTTCCTCAGCTGGAACAGTTGGCGTCGAGGTCTGGAACATCGACCAATCATACTCTCTCGTCAGCTTTCCACGCGCAATGGTGCTCACAAGGGGCGCAGTACAAGCTCGCCGACATCCCTTTTGAAAACGGCGGCACTCTCGTCGCCGGCGGTGAGCGCATCGATAGAAGCAGCTATGGACACGGCGATTTCGTCGCCACCGCAGAGTTCCGCTCCAGCAGGGACCGCCTCCTGCAACAAAAAAACACGCACGCGCGATTAACCCACGACGCCTTCAAACAAGTCAAGCAAATCGGACGGTAAAAACGAAACGCGCCTTGAAACGAACGGCGTTGGCATGTCATCCGGAGCATATAAAGTGTGCAAAAACAAAAAAGTATCTTGTTGTTTCTCGCCGTTGCTATTACGTGGTAGATGACAACGGCAACATTGTACTAGAAAAATACAGGATGCATCAACCACTTATCAAGCTTCTGTTGCTGTGGAAATGGGTCGTTTGCCTCAAAAGAAGAATGCTTAAGGCACTCACCGCGTTAAAGCAAATAATAATGCGGTCACTTGAATCCTACGTTGTAGGAGTATCAAGTACGATCTATCTACTGTAGCACCGGACAGGGCCATGGACAAATCGTGCTCGAACGGTTGTCCATACAACGCATTCTAGTTGTTGTGGTGGACCAAGAACGTTAGAAGTAGCGTCAGTGATAGGGTTAGTCCTATTGACGCAGACGCCTTTCTTCCGTGGTCACAGGCGAACCGCTCGAAGCCGAGCGCAGACCCAATACTCGCACAAACAGTGCTTGACAGCCGACCGAAATAATTCTACATACACTACCTACAGGCGGAGGGGTACAGAATTCCCCCGGCGGGCAACGGCGATCTTATCGTCACCACCATGAAATTGTTTCATCTGAGCATAGACGAGGGAGGATGATGCATTCTCCCGCAACATTCGTTTGCGATGGCCAATCTTCGGCAATTGAGGGGAATACGCTTATTAGGGCTAGTGTTCCCGCTTGCGAAAAAAAGAGTCGAGCGAGAGCAAGCCAGGAATGAATACGAATGCTGAGAAAAAACGACCACCAACAACTGTGCGGGACCATTATGTGGGCACGTGAATGCGCAGCTGGTGTTTCCTACATGCCCGTATAGATGCAGCAAGTAGACGACACTTTCCGGCGTGGAGGGCCATATTCGTCGCGATATGGGTACGGACTTTGACTTATTGGGTTCCTGATAATGACTGCGTCATGACCTGATCATCACTCGGTCATGACTCGATCATGACTCGGTCGTGACCCCGACATCGAGATGGATTATGACTAGGTCATGACCAAATCAATTCTGGTGCTTCTGAACAATGGATTTTCTGCTTTGGCATGGGCATGAAACCGATTGACAAATATTTCGTTAAACCTTGCCACCCCAAATCCACACGATAGGTGCTAGGTTTGTCGCTGGGTGGATAAGTTCTACGCTGGTGTGCCGGCATCGGCGCTGGGTTGGCGTTGATGCAATTAATCCAGACGGACCATCGGGTCATGGTTGTGTCACGATGGAGTGATGACATGATCATTTCTCTATCGATCATGGTCCACTCATTGTGCTCCGATTATGACACAGTCACCACTCGGTAACGGCACAACCATGGCTACACCATGATCGGGGCATGATCAAGCAGTCTGGCCGAATAATGATATTCCTGTGAAAGTGACCCGGTCATGACTCGGCCATGATCCGGTCATGATCGGGTCACGGAACCGGGTCAGAACCGGGTCATGACCAAAATCACAACCCGATCATGACCGCGTCAGGGCCCAGTGATCGGATCATGAAGTCATCACTGGGTCATGGTTCGGCCATTACCCGGTCATGATCGGGTCATGACTGAGTCGCGACCCGATCATGATCCGATCACAAACTAACCCAATGGTGTGACTCGTTGAAGTGCTACTTTGCAGAAAGCTCACCTCGAAGTGTAAACCGGCCCACACGCGGCTGTCTCCACACATCTGCGATATCTCGGTCCAGCTCGAAAATTCGAGTATGGGGCCGCCGAACTCGGGGGGAGGGAACCCGATTGGAGGATCGATGATGTCGTTCCCCGCCCAGAGCCGGAGCGCACTAGCAAATCCCTGACATGGAACAACATGTGGTGTGTAGAAGCCAAGGCGTGAGCACGACAAATAGTGTTCGGCGAAGTCCGACCTCTTCAGAGACCCACAGGGCCTCACAGTCATATCTTTGGGTGCTGCGGCAACATCGTTAGCTCCGGTCGTGTCCACTGATAGACACGCGTCGAGTATTTGAGCAATCATTCTAGCTTTTGAGGCGCCGGGTTTTCCGCGCTGCCCCGTTTTTGACGTACGCGGAAAACCACGCACATCCAACCCGAAACCTAGTCCAACCACACATCGAGAGATATAGCGGAAACGATGATGTGGCGGAAGCAATGCTCCTCTACGTTCTCACGACAGCCGTATCGCATCCTCAATTGACTCTATTGGCCATCACGGTCTAGGAGAAATTGGCTTACCTCGCAGATGCACGAAGAGCCCGACGGGTATTCACTGTGAGGCATGGTGCGAATGTACGGCTCCTGCAGCAGATGGCGGCCAGGGGTGGGGCAAGGGTTGGTTCGACGCACTGCTTGTGTAGCTGTTGTTTTCGTCGTTTCTCGTCATCATCGTTGCTGTGGTTCAATCGATATGATCGTGTTCCAACGACACGTGTGGGAGTCGACGCTAAAACTTTCTTCCACGATAGAGGGAAAAATTCGTTGGATCAGGACGATGCAGATGAATGCGCAACTTTGCGAGTACACTCAGCGGCAGAAAGAGAAAGAGCGTAGCAAACAAAACGCCGGCAAGACCTTAAACTTTGTCGGCGGAATAGTGTGTATCAACCACGTTCGGGTTGCGCGATACTGCATCTTCTTCTGAGGTCGACTCAGGTGGATGATGAACACTGTTTCTCTTTCTGGATCGCCGGGTGCAAC